TGCGCTCGTGCTGCTTCAAAGGCCTGTAGAAAATCTTGGTTTCGCGGCATGTGAAACCTAATTATGGAGGTACGCAAATTTTCCCAGTCCAAACAGTGATCCTCCCCTGTACGTATCTTGAGTGCATCATGTTCTAAGGTTAACATACCTTCGACGGTATAAGTTAAATGGGGAGCGTGCGATGGTCGCATTTCAAATGTAAACGCTGTTGGTCCGTTGTGGCACACAAAGTCTTTGAATGCTTGTGTGCATGTCCTCCATTCTACTGATGAATAAGAGGGACGAGTCGTACTCAACATTTTCCTTCCTTGTAAACTTACTTTTTTCAGAAACTTACTGTTAGGCAGACTGTAAAGATAAAAGAAATAGAATTTGGTTTACCAAAACCCATAAATCTGTAGTTCCAAAAAGTAAGGCTTTGCCATTCTTATCGCAAGCTTTCAATAATAAAAAAAAAAGAAAAAAGAAAATTTCTTTGCAGTGTACATGATTGTAAGTGAGGATGTAAAATTATTTCTTTAAAAAATTGCACAGTTCATTATATCAGGTACTGTGCTTCTCTAGATGAGAAGATGATTGAAAGAACATAGTTCGGTATCTGCAACAGATAGTGTAAAATAATTTACAAACAACTTCACGTTCATTGATCAAAGGCCATCCTTCTAAGGCTTCTTGAGTGATCGCTGATGCCTCATCCGTACCTAAGATATCTCGCGTCATGAAATAGACATCCGTTAAAATATTAGTAGAGTAAATAGGAAGATAATTTGATGAAATAGATGCCATACGGTGTTTCTGAAGTAATGATTCCATAAGCGCAAGCTGTACCTGCAAGGTCTTAGTCATACCGAATGGCACTAATTCTTCTCTTTTTAAGAGTTTAGCTATATCATTCCGATCACCTTCGTGGGAATGTTTTACCATTGGTTTGCTTACAATATCATGATCCATCCTCATACACTGATTTTGGTGTTTATGATGTTCAGTATGATAATGTGCGGGCAAAGCGGAAGAAGTGGAAGAAGCACTCGACTGAGGAGTTGCTTCCCCCATAAAGGCTTTCAATAATGGTTCAGAAAATGTAGAGGATTCAATACATCCATGTACAAAATGACTTCTTGACTTGTTATTCGTAATATTAGAACATACAATTGCTGAATTCATAGCTTTTATGTTATCATTCTTTTTTTCTTTATTTTTTCTTTTCCTCTTTTTCTCTATTTTTTCATCATCATCCTCATCCTCCTCCTCTTCCTCTGCCTTTATCTTTCCACCATATGGATTTAAGAGGTTTGATGAAACTTGAACTCCTTTCTCTAACCGCAGAAAAATATGAGTATCATTTACGTTTTCAATACCACTAGTATTAACTCCTTTATCTACTTCAGGAACTCTTTTAACATACCGAGACTCTCCTTGATCCATTGATTTCAGCTTTAACGCAATCCCATACCCCTCCTCCTCCTTCTTCTTTTCCTCTGGTAACCATCTTTCTCTTGTTGGTGAAATAAGTCCTTTTTTTGCTTCTTTTTCTTTTTCTTGTATTTTTCTAATATAATTTCTTTCTTTTTCCAGTTCAAGCATACTCTTTAGCATTTGATCACGCTCAGTATGCGCAGCCTTTAACTGTGTTGATAAGTATTCAATTTGAAAATCCTTCTCCATTGCCTCTTGCTGCCATTTCACATCTTCAGAGGACTCTGTATACCACTTGGAAACCTTTTCCTCAAGATTTATGATTTGTCGCCTTAATTCCGCAGCGTCTGCCTGACTTGTAGAGGCAGTATGCTCAGCCGACTGACGTTCCATCTCACTAGCCGCATACAAATTTTGCCACTGACGACACTCATTACGTAGTTCTTGTAGTTGCTGTGAGAATATTTCTGTGTCATTCACTACAGTAGATGGTAGTGTTTCGGGTATATTCAGAACTGCAGAGGATTTTACAGCTCTCTTCCAATGTAAAATATGAGATGTATCTGCACCACAAGCAAGAATTTCAGTATTACGAACTGCACATACAGAATGTGGGATCCTTTCACCAATATCATCATCAAGCACACCTCGCTCAACAATAACTAAGGAATCAGATTCATATTGCCATTTCCAAAAAAATATTTCACGTGAAGAACTCAAAGTACATAAACCATTTATCCAAGGAACCCTGGTTATAGCACATATTGCAGCAGTATGTTCAAAGTATTGAGCAATATGTATAGCTCCTTTCACTGTCCATAGAATGATATCCCCATTTTCCAATCCACTCACCACAAATGATGCTTGTAGTGAATATTTAAAAAGTGTTAAAACTGTTACAGCACAAGAACCTGCTGTACGAAGAATACATGACGTCTTTGCATCCCATTTAGTATCTTTTACATCTAGTATCAGAAGAACACCAGTTGAATATCCAAGCCAAATAGTTGAATCATGAATAAGAAAAGAAGAAATTTCATCATATGGAGAAAGAAACATAGTTGTGTTATGACCGCAAACATATCTCGGTATACACTTTTCTACCTGATCTACGATATTTTCAGCTTTACTTATACGACCAATTGAAGCCCATAAAATTACTTGTGGTGGGGCACTATTCGTCATGGCAATAAGAGAATCTCCATCGGTTTGCAATTCCTGTATGCCTGTGATTCCTTCTAGTGATAAGTGATAAAGAAATTGTAAATGTACATGTTGTCCATCCCTACGATGAGCCCGGTAGCATTCTACACCATTTACCCCACCAAACCAAACCAGGGAACTATGTGGCACCACATCAATGGCGCTCGCAACACACATGGCGTTTATTTGTCGTTTACGCATAAGAAGAACACTTGGATCTTGTGCTGACCACGCCGTAACACAGCCGTCGGGATGCACCGCCAAGAGAGCTAATTCCCTGGTATCCATAAGCTCTACCGGGGCAATGCAAACGACAGCATCTTCCCAAACAGGAGAATAATCCACAGTAGGAGCATCCATCGTGCCTAGAAATAAAAGCTAACAGGTGTCTCTCTTTTCCTAGACACCCTAATAGTTGATTAATATGATTGTTGTAATTATATTATTAAAGGAAGTACAAGAAGAAAAAAGAAAAAGAAAAAGAAAAAAACACCACGTAATTATTATATTATGTATATAAATATCAAAATAATACAATTCCAAAATTTCCTGTTTAACCCCTTTTACTCCTTCGGGTAAGTATTGCAAAAAGAAATAAAAATTATGAAAAAGTATGAAAAACAAAAAAGAATGGTTAAATGCTAAGACTCAATACCCATTTTCTCCCATCTCGCCTTGTTTTCTTTTCCTTTCATCCAGTATTCGCATGCGCATTTTTTTTTTTTGTTTTTTTCTACGCTTGCTATCTAGATGCGGCTGGGGTAGAGGTAAACGCGAACACGCCTGCCGATTGCGGATGCTGGCACAGCGGCGCCGTTGAACTTCACGCGAACAGCACCTGAACCACCATGTGGACGTGTCACACGGCCCCAAATGGCGCGTGTGTTGCTGCGACGAGCGGGTGCTTTGCTCCAGCGCACACAGCGCTTCATCTTGTATCCGTGATAGACGTAGCACACACGCTTGCCAACATACCAGGCGGCGTCATCCTTTGTGTTGACGTTCTCAACGCGCACAATAGCGGTGTTCTTGTTCTGACCGTGGAGTCCCCTTGTGTAGCCCGCGAGGGTGCCCTTCATGTAGAGACGTGGGGACTTGCGGTTGCGTCGCACCGTAGATGTCTTCTTGGTCAACTGTTGGATTTTCTTGGAGCGGTTCGCCGCGAGGGAACCAGAGAAGCTCTTCGACATGGCCATTTTCTTTTCTTTTCTTGTGTGGGTTTTAGTTCTTGTTGCTTCCGTGGAGCAGAAGATTGGTATGGTCGCGTAAGCTTAGCTAGAGATGGGGGTAAAACCAAAAATTAAGAAGAGTAATGTAATAAGCAGAATAAGAAAAACAAAAAGAAATAAGAATGAAGAGAAAGAAGAATTTTTTTTTTTTTTTGTACAATAAGAAAAAAAAAAACATATGAACGGAAAAGACAAAGTCCAAGAGTACGAGAAACAACGAACAAAAAAATACACCAGCGTAATACGTACCGCAGCAGAAGCTGGAACATGCAGAAAAGTTACATCATCGGAAGAGAGAGGGAGAGCGAGAAAATAGAATAATAATAATAACATTAATAATAATAATAATAATAATAATAATAATAATAATAATAATAATAATAACGCATGTGACAATTATCTTTCAGCACGGAAGATGAAAGAAGAAAGAAAAAAAAAAAAAAGGAAAATGACAACAAAAAGGAAGGCAATCCTATACTAAAATCTACGACAGGGAACATGTTGCTCTGGAACGAAAAGCACTACAAAGACAATGCCACTTACGCAAAAGTATCACCAAACAAAAACAACGACAATACTTCATTCAATCACCCAAAACTCCAGAGAAATTTTTTGCTTCTCCTCATGTACATTAGAAAGAAAAAAAGAAAACCAGAGCACTTGCACAAATAATGAAGAGGCTGCTACTAGTGATGCCTACCAATACTCCCAGAACTAGAGCCATCCTAAGGATATCAAAAATGATAAAAGGAAAATGGTACAATTGGAGAAAGTGTTAAGCAGAAAAAAAAAAGGGATATACCTTTAAAAGTTCCTCACATGCCCATTCTTCTTCCTTTTTGTATTTATTTTTTCATCATTTTTTTTTTTTTTCTTCTTAACAGTACTTTTCTTTCTTCCTCTTTTTCTTCTTCCTTCTTCACTCCTTCCTTCCTTTTGTTTTCTTTTTCTTTCATTTTTTCTTCTTTTTTTTTCTTTGCTTCCCTGATTGCTTTCTTTTGTGCTTTTTTCACCTTAATTGCGTCACTCTTTTTTCTTTCCCCCTTTTTCCTTTTTACTAACCCTTCCTCAATGTCTCCTGTTGCTGCCAGCAACATTAATCATAACAACACCATTACCATTACCATTACCACAGCATCATACCTGCGACAAGTGCCACTCTGTCTCCTCTCTAGCTATTACTAGATCCATAGCTGACACCCCTTCTCCCTCTATTACTATTCTTACTATTGTTGCTATTACCGCTACTCTTGCTATCATCCACTCCCCGCGTTTCGAGCAGTGTGGCACAGAGCAACGGCACCGACTCGCGTGCGTCTGCCATTTCTTCCTCGTGCCGCTCGAGCACTAGTGTGCGTGTGCGATAGTGAGTATACGCAGAGCGAAGCGAGAGACCAATGGCGAGTGTCAAATACATTAGGCCGGCGTTGCGACAGGCGGTGGCCTTCTCGTCCAAATCCCACTCCCGCTGCACGGCGACGACAGCGAAAGAAGCGATGCGGCAATGCATCAGCCACGCGATGAGGAACGCCGTCACTGCAGTGGTGTAGGCAAAGGCAATGTACGCACAAACACGACCAGACATACGTTTGTGTGTGTGTGTGTGTGTGTTTTTTTTTTTTTGTATTATTATTACTATGTGAATGTCTGTGTGTATAGGTCTCTGTTTCTATGTGTGAGTGTGCAGGTGTTCTCGTTCACACCCACTCCCTTCAGACCACGCACAGAAAAACAGAGAAATATAAAGATATAAAAAAGGATTTAACGAGCGGCACAGACGCCCACTTCGTTAATCACCCTGCTATGAATCAAACTAAAAAGTGAAGAAAAAAGGGAAATATGAAGGGAAGGAATAAAAGAATAGAAGGGAGAAGAAAAAAAAAAAAGAAAAGAGAAGAAGAAAGAAAAAAAAATTAACAAAATAAAAGAGAGAGTGAGAGAGAGACTCACTGCCATCAAGATGCTGATCAGTCATATCTGTCAGTTTTTTTTTTTTCTTGCTTTTCTCATCATTCATTGGTGCTATTGTTCTTGTTTTTTTTCGCTATTTGCGCCCGAGATCACGTCACAACAGTAAGAGGTACAGAGAAAACAAATGCCAGAACGAATCTCAGACATAGAGCTACTACTTAAGGATATTTCCCAAAAGAGTAACGGGTGATCTTCGTCAACTGAGAATTCAATACATTAACAGAACAGAAAGCATATACAAAAAAAGAAAAACAGCGCATAGTATAACACAATAATAAAGAAAGAAAAAAAAAAAAAAACACATTGAGCTTAATCAAGCAAAGCCGTTTATGTTTAAAAAGTTCTTTCTGAGAATGCCAGAAAAAAAAAAAAAAAAGAGAACTGCCCAGAAGAGGAAAAAAAAAAAAAAACCACAACAACTACAACTACAGCTACAACAACAAGAACAACAACAACAAGGGCATAAAGAAGAAAAGAAAAAAGAAAAACATGAAAAAAAGAAAGCAACTAGCGCCTATCCAATTCCTCAACATCTGAGTCACTGTCCTTGTAACCAAGAAGACCTTGCTGGTCACGCGGCACTACTCTACGGCAGTTTTGGTGCGCATGATACTGCAGTCGGCAGAACACCATTCTACATGGACCTCGCAATAAATCCCACAAAGGCGCCAATACCACCAGAACAAAAAAGAAAAAAAAGTATATCCCAGCACGCCGGCATGCCATTGCCTTTATCCTCAGATCCCATCCTCGCTCAACGGCTGGTATGTGAAATACCGCCAAGTTTGTTGAGTCCATTATCCACGCAAATAAAAATGCCAATATCATATTCAGGGCACAAAAAGCTAACAGAACAGTCCTAAGCAAAGAAAATGTACACCATAGCCGCGATGTAATAACCCGCATAAGTCCTATGGGCATAACTAAAGAAATAATAAAGAATCCTAAATTCCAATAAGGTACTTCCACCCAATTCACCTAAAAAAAAAAAGTGAAAAGAAATAAATAAAAAAGAGGCAGAGAGGCACACATAATATACGTCAGAAATACAAAAAAAAAACATTTTTCTTTCAAAGATGTATTCTCAAACCTCTTCATAGAAAAATGTGTTTATACATATACATATATACGGGTATAATTATACAGTGCACAGAAAATGATTGCTATGTGTGTAGGGGGCAAAAGAATAAATTAAAACACACAAACAAAAAAAAAACATCAGCAAATAATATGAATTACTCTACGCCAGGGTTTTATGATCTACAGAAACATCAGAGAAAGAGGATGGATATAAAGTTAGCCACATAGAAAACTTCTCATCGATTTTTGTCAAACGATCCTTCAGAAAGAGACGCCATGCACTATCCTCTGAAGTGACGTTAGATAATTGGGAAGGAATCGCACACCTCTCATTTTCTCCTTTCAAGGAAGAATCCTGCAGATTTTCATCACCTTTTCCACCCAAACTCTCCATCGCCTCTACGCGAAAACTAAGCCCATCCTCATCATTCCACTTCCCAACACGTACAAGTTGAATTTCATCCCCAATATCCAGTTCAATTGGTCCTGCCTCATACAATACATTTCCTACTCGAACTGAAAAGCATTGTGAGTTCCATTTTGACATCAACAAACTAGAAACTCGTCGATCACTAGAAATCCTCAACGTTACTTCAGCAACTCTTTGCTCATCTCGCACTAATACGGCCTTTTCACCATCATTTCGGAGCATGACAGCATCCCAGTTTCCAAAACAGGTACGCAACACAACGAACCCCTTTGAATTATCACGCATTACCCCAGACCCTCTAATCATAGGGCTTAAAAAAAAAAAAAAAAAGAGAGAAAGGAAAAGAAGAGAAAAGGGGAAAAAAAAAGAAAAAGAAAGGTTACAAATAACAATAAAATATGGCAGCAGAAGAAGAAAAAAAAAAAAAAAGATGAATACAAGTATTACTGTGTTATCAACGATATCTTTTTTTTTCTTTTTGCATTTCTTCTCTTCTTCAATAGAATCAAAACACGAAGAAAAATGCACAGAAAAATAAAAAAAACTTTCAGCATCAGTGATGTACATAGTCACAAAAAGGTGGGGAATCCAATACCTCTCCTACACCATCGCCTCATATTACATGCATTTTGTTCACAGCGAATAGCTGCTCCACAAGAATCATATCCCCCAAGAAAAAATGTTAAGAGAGGAAAAAAGAAGTGTTAAAACATTGTCTTTTTTTTTATTTTATTTTCTTTTCTTTTTTTCCCTTCTCTCCTCTTAACTATATCTTCTCAAGGAATCAGTGCGTCACAGAAAGGTGGTTAGACTTTACATTGGTCTTTTTCTTTCCACTAGATACCTGATCTACCGGAATATGTCCGCCCATAACTCGGTTTTGCATTTCCCTAGCCTGATAGTGCTCTACTTGACTTCGGTAAAAACGTGATGATTGAACCATAGGTGTGGGTTTAAATGGCACAAGGGCACCAAATGGTTTAGGAACACTTAATCCATCATCAGGAATATAAGCATTTGGCCGTTGTTCTGCAGTCGTAATTAACGTTTTTGATGCTGCTGTTGCCTCTGCCTCTTTTTCCTTCCGGTGTCTTAACATATCGGCGTAACGACGTCTACTTTCTATCTCCCGCAGGTATCGCTCTTCTGCTTCAGCAAAAGGTGCTTCACCTTGCTGCATATTACGTTCAGCCTCTTCTACTAAACATTCTAGTCGCTGTACATCTTGTTTCAATTGAATGGCAGAAGCCTGAAAAACAGAGAGTTCAGAAACAGTTGCCATCATTTGTCGAGTTTTAGCCCGAATACTACTGTGATGAGAATTCACTTGTTTAGCAAGTGCCAATGTAAATTCACGTCCACTTTTTGCTTGTTCAGTAACTCGTGACGTAAGTTCTGTTACCTCTTCCAAAATAAGATCTTTTTCACGAATTCGTTCATTAATAGCATTTACCCTCTCTTCAAGCTCCAGACAACGTTGCTGCAAGTGAAGAAATTCATCTGAAGGTCCTTCAACTCCGCTTCTTGCTAATGTAGAAGCTCCTGGAAGTGTTGTATTAGCGGTATCAGCGTGTTTTCCTTCTACTTCAGTAGGAAACTCTCGTCCTGCTGTTTTTCTTGAAATAACTCTCCATCGGTAAGGGTTTTTAGGATTAGTCAAATCATTTTCAAGTACTTCAATCTTCCATCGTTCATCGTCAATTTCATCTACTAGAGTCTCCAATTGTGCTTCCAACTCTTTTACTTTTGGAACAGACTTCTGAACTACATCTACTTCACGGCGAAGATCAGCAAGTTTAATTTGTAGGGCACGTATTTCATCACGACGAGCATTATCCATAAGAACACCATCACGAATAGCTTTTTCCTGTGCATTTACTCGGGCATACAATACACAAAGTTCATCGTTTCGATCAAGAAGTTGTACACCAGCATAGTTTCGACCTTCAATAACCTCATTATATGTATTTTTCACATCTTCCATATCTTCTTCAAGAGAAGCAATTTGTTCATTTACACGCCTTACTTCATTTTTGATATTTCGTTCTTCATCAGAAACTTTTTCTAAATTCTTTCGTTGTCTATTCTTATCCATACGAAGATTTTTACAGATTTGACGAAGCTCTTGAACTTGTCGTTTTTTTCTTGTTAATTCTGTTTCTTTCAATGCAGATTCACGGCATAATACAGCTAATTCATTTTCAAGAATAGTCTTTTTTTCAGACATTTCTGTCATTTTCTGTGTAACAGCTTGAATTTGTGCTGCCTTGTGACTACGTTCACGTTTTATATTTTGAAACATTTCAGTAATAGAATTCAAACGATGTTCTAATTCATCTCGACGTTTACGGACTTCATTTACATGCATTTCTTTCATTCGTAATTCATCTTTCCCCATCTTGATACGACTGTTCTCTCTTGCACAATCACGGTTAAGTTCTTGTCTTCGAACTACTAGCGCTGCTGTTTCACGTCGTTTCACTTCTTCCTGTAATGCTCTTCCATTAATTTCACTTTTTAAAGCCGCAATATCTTCTCGAACTGCTTCAGCTTTAGCAATAAAGCCTTCTTCACGACTTTGTTCTCTCATAAAAGCACGTGTTCGTAGTTCCATTACCCGCTGTTCATCCTCAAGTCGTTGAGCATTTCTCTTACGTACACCTTGAACACGTTCTATATGTTTTTTAACTTTACCAATATTTTCTTTGATATCTTGTTGCTCTTTTAAAATATTTGCAACTGTATGTTCTAATTCGGTGTATGCTGCACTAGTTCGCTCCATTTCACGATGTACATGTTCTACATTTCCTAGTTCTGTTTCTCTGGCTATATGAGTCGTCTTAATAAGTTGTTCTAGTTGTGCAATACGTTGCTGATATCCTTGACGTGCCTCTAGTTCCATCTCGAGTGAAGTATTTAATGTATCAATTGTGATACGTTTAGAATCAATTTGAGCTTTCAGTTTTCGCAAATTAGCCTGAGCTTGTGTATAATCTGTATTTCGGGTATTTTTCTTTAGTTCTAGTTTTGCTATCATATCCATTTGAACCTGTAATTTTTCATCTAGAGCACTTAATTCAAGTTGTGCAGCTTGATAACTTTTTATAACAATTTCTGTTTGTTTCATCGCTCGTTCAGGAGCCTTTTCAACATTTGTTAACTGTTTTGTTGCATCTGCCATAATTTCATTCCAGTGTCGTAATTTCTCTTTACATTCTGTTTCTTCTGCAAGTATTTCATCCCGTTTGGCTCCAATTGTTTGTAATTCCGTTGTCATATCTTCAATTTCCTTCCCCATGGCATTCATCTCTGCCTGAAGGGCTTCCATGCGAGGCCGCAGTCGTGCCTCTTCCGCGGCGAGAGCGTCCTCCCGCTCCAGCAGCATTGTGTGTTTCTTCCGATCAAACTCGAGGGCCTCCACCTGCAGAATACTTTCCCGCTCCTGCGCCTCTGAGAGTTCATTCTCCGCCTCCATGAGGACTTTCTTGAGGCGCTGAATTTCCGTATCATCCTCCACGGCCACAGTGCCTCGGGCTGCGATGCGCTCCTTCTCCGTATCTAGTTCCTTCCGCAGCTGTCGAGCCCGTTTTAAGAGGAAGTTATCACGTTTGTAGACAACCAATACGCGGTTGTGAAGTTCCTTAAACTTTTGTTTAAGATACTCCGCACGTTCTTCAATAATCCGTCCCTCCTCTACAAGTGTGTTGAGGACCAACACCGCGGAAGAATGTGACACATCTGTGGCATCGTCAAACAGCTGAACAACATCAGTCATCTCAAACAAGGGTTCAGATTTGTACTAGGCTTTCTTTCACACTTCTCTCACTCTCATACAGACACACTGCGAGAGCGAGAGAGAGAATAGGGGGAGACAGAGCGATATCAAAGAAAAATACGCCAATTACCACGTACACAGACACCCCTATGAATACCGAAATAAGAAAAAAAAAAAGAAAAAAAAAAAGGAAGANGATGTTAAGAGAGGGATATGAAATTATTGAAGTTTGAAAGGTTTACGGGAAACTACGAGAAATATTGTTTTGGGAAACGGTTTTTTTTTTTTTCGATACATGTTGAGATTCCCTGTAAAGGAAGAGAAAAAAAAAAACGTCGGCTTTTTTATTTGTTTATTAACAAATTAAAAAAAAAAAAAAAGGAAATCAAAAAAAAAAAAAAATAGAATAACAAAAAAAAAGAAAAACAAGAAGTATTATAAATTAAAAAATAGATTACAACGGTTAAATATGAGGTTATTATTTTTTTTTTTTTAGGAGTAAATATTTTCGAAGAAACAGGGTAAATGTTGATGTAGACTTAACAGCAATTATAACAACAAGGATAAGAAGTCGATGAAAAACATACAAAGTAGTCATACTGCAATTTATCTCTTATTGCATATTGGACGTTGCTTGCACAAAGTAAGGGATACATGAACAGGAAGTCCCTTTCCCAACTCCCTTGTTCCAGCAGCACCAATCCGATTTTCATTCAAGTTTAAGAAGAAAGTAGGTGGCCTTCGTGATGATGTTTCTTGAAAGGTAACAGTATCTGTATCAACTGGTATACAAGGTTGAGGACGTTGTCGCAGCAATGGAGCAATACAGAGAGCACCATTATCATCCAATGAAATACCTCTCAGAATCAAGGCACGAATTTGATCATTCTGACTTAATGCATTTAAAAGAAATAATGCCCCACAATTACCGATCCGACGATTATAGCTCAAATCCAACACTTCAAGAACTGTCGTTGTTTTTTCTGATGATTTCTCATTACGCAAATTTAATAAATCAGTAAGTGTTGCTACATCGTCTTCATCCATATCATTACGAGACAAATCAAGTAGACGTAATGTACTTCGGTGGTGATACAATTTTGGAAAAAAGAGATGAAGACCAGTAGGACGATCACATCCAATTTGAAGACGAAGATGACGTAAGGGATTTTTCATGTAGGAAACATCAAAGTATGATGCAGCTCGCTTACATTCATCATGACCAAAACGACATTTAACTATTTCAAGAAAGTCTGATCGTGGTAATGTATGCATAATCCTGTAAATGGGGTCAGAAGTAGGAGATTTCTCAGTTGGAAAATCTTTCCCTTGTATACTTTTTAAAGAAGACCCATCATTTACAATACTTGAAACTGAATCAGAAACTACTGCAATAACAGATGTAGAATTGGTAATATGATCACTAGTAGTAATAGTATTAGTAGGACTAGTAGTAGTAGTAGCAACCCCGTTGCCACTTTTAAGAGATTCTACGATCTTTTCTTCTAAGGGGGGTTGCGGTCGTTTTCTACCATTTTTAGGCTTACTATTCTTTCCTACCTGATGTTCACTCCTTTTTGCCTTTTTCACTGTACTCATTACCCGCACAATGACGCTCAAGAAAGTTTTTTTTTATTTTTCCCCTCACCTACAAAGGGAAGAAGTCTACGACAGGAAATAAAAATAAAAGAAAATTAAAAGTTCATAAATTTGGAGAAAGAATGAAAGAAAGAAAAAAAGCAAAAGAGAAAAAAAAATAATAATATAATGTTAAGAATAGCAAATATGCAAGAAACCCAATTCACTATATTTTTCCGTTTTTTTTTTTTTTTTTCTTTCCTTGACACACTCAATTCTTGCCACTTATTTCTCTTGTTTCTTTTGTGGTTACTTATAATATATAACTGTCGCTATGGTTAACCTACTCTGTCATTGCCTTGCCCCGTGATATGGGTGAACCACGGATACCTTGCGAATAGAGGTTACGAGTGTTAAAGCTTCCTCTAGCCATGGCATACCACTGTTAGTAGTATTACCATTTTTCTTATTAGCACCGCTACTGACACCACCACCACCACCACCACCACCACGTACGACATCAGTAAGAGGAACTTGTTGATTTCTCTGATAAGACACATTCACTGACCATACAGAAACTGCACCATCTGTGTGAGCAGTAATAAAACGCGTCCCATTAGTGTTCCATGAGAGTTGTGTCACCTCTTCCATGGAAACAGTCGCCTTTGCCATTAAGATGAGTTGGTCCCCTGCTGAAGTTTGTACTCCACCACCTAAAGGAGGACGCTTAAAAAAGAAGAGAGACACTTGATAAGAGAAAACTGCAGCAAGTACAAGAAAACTACGACCTGCGCCTGGTGACCATGAAACCTGTCGAAGACATCTTCCACGACCGGAAAAAGGTTCTGAAACATATGCTACAGCTCCAATATTTTTTCCATTACCAGTGACGTTTAAAACACGAAAAACCCCTTCTTCATCACCTACTACAAGTAAAGTTCCAGTTTCATCCCATTCACAGCAAGTGTATCCTTTAATACTTCGATTTCTATTCTCTAATGGATTTGACGAAGTATCCTTATCTTCTTGGGAGTACGTACTTACAGGGGACCACACATTACCTTCATTTTCTATAACTTGTGCAAAGATCATAACCTTTCCCTTCGCACATGCGCATGCCATAGTAAAATGAAGAGAAAACGATGCCGAGATACAATCTGGTACAGTCAGCACATCATCTAAAGACCAATGACCATGGGCTTGACGATAGAATCGCACCTGTTTTCCTCGACAAACACAAGCCAAATACATCCCGTATTGCCACGGTGCCCAAGCAAGACAGGTACAGGGATAACGCAGGTGTTCAATTAAGAGAATAGAGCTTGCAGGATCCCACTTTAAATGTTCTTCATCAGTTAATAAAGCTTCCTCAACGGGCATGTTACGCGTCGACATTACAAATACTTCATTTTTTGAAGTTGAAATAGCCAGTAATTTTCCGTGATTGTTGTGTTCCATAGCAATAATTACGGTATCATGTGCGGTAAAGTGAAAGAGAGGACGCATAAAATTTGATGAGCAACAGCCAGTTGATGATGTGGGAACACATGATCCATTTATTAGTGTTCCTGCTGAATTTCTATTAGGCAGAGTTGAAGGTGTATGCACTAGTGTCATTGGTAAAGCTGTAGAATCGTGGGAAACGCTATTCATTGTTTTTTTTTTTTCTTTTCAGTTTTAGCTGTTTTTTCTTTTTTTTTCTTTTCTTTTTTCTTTCCCTAGTAAAGAGAAAAGACGGAGAACGAGAAAAAAAAAAAAGAATTTTTCCCACAAGGTTGAGAATATGCGAGGTAGAAGGATACTCCAGCATAAGAAGAATAATAAAAAAAAAAAAAAACATACAAAATGTCAACTGTTCATCAAGCATACATACATACATACATACACACACACACACGCAGAAAGAAAAAAAAAGAGGGAAAAAGAAAAAGATAAGAAAACAACGGAATGAAAGAAGACTCACGAAGAAAAAAGGTGGAAGAGTGACGCATCACCATAACCAAGCATCAGCAAGAGCACAAGTCATCAACGCATGCAAAATAGATAATAAAAAAAAAAAAAGAGAAGAAAATCAACAACAAAAAAGCGGAATTCTCTCATCCAACCTTGGAGCAGAAGCTGAGCGATGGACTGACACGGAAAATGAATACAGGTACACACACACACACATACACATACACATGATAAGTGAAAAGAAAAGAAAAGAAAAAGAGTGTGTGTATGTATGTGATAGAAAAAGAGAGAAAAAAAAAGAAGAAAAAGAAGGGGGTAAAATAAAAGAAAAAATAAATAAATGAAAACTAAGAAAGCACCTAATCAGGACGACTCAACCATACCAGAAGTTAAGAAGCAAAAAAACTGAACAGGAGATAATAAAAGATGAGCCAAATCATACGTCTTACAAAGTCTCTCTTTTATTCTTCTTAGCGTGGTGATCTTTCTTCAAATGTCTCCCTTTTATGTTGACTGTGTATTTTTTTTTTTTTTTTTCTTCTTCGTTAAAGAGAGACCAAATATTTTGTGTTGTCAAACAAATAGAGTTGTGGTTGCCACTTTACGGTTTCTCTTCGTTGCCCTTACCCCCACTTCATCTATGTAATTCTTCAGTTTCCTTGACTAACTCCCTTGGTTGTCCATAAAGAGACATAAAATCAAGAGAAACCTTCTCAAAGTTTTGTACGTAACTCTGTATCTCCACTATACACGCTTTTATTTCTAAATTTTGGCTTGATAGTGTTTTTTTTTTTTTATTTTTTTTTCTTATGTTTTCACATCTTTTTTTTTTCTGCGTTCTTGCATTAAAGTTTGTCATGTTTCATCATATTACCTTTCCTGCTCACGTTGTTGGAATACTTTTTTTTTTTTCTTTCTTGCCTGCGAAGCCTTGTGAAACTTGTACACGTAGAGATGGAAAGAAATGGGATGTCATACATCGTAAATCCATCTTCATCTTCGCATCGACGTCCACACGGCCACCTTTTTTGCCTTTGCTGTTCTTGTTATGACTATTATTATTATTATTATTATTATTATTACTATTATTATTAGTGCCGTTAGATTCACCTTCCCGGTAGCATCACATTGTGCATTGCCTACAACGGAATGACAAGAAGCTATACAAACCCACACAACTCTCACAGACCCTTTAATGATATACAAAACGTGAGAAAAAAAAAAGGAAGCAGATAATAACAATTTCTCTACTTTTCCTTTTGTTTCACTTATTCTTTCATCGTGTTTTTTTTTTTTTTTTTCTCTTTCACTTGTTCTTATCGACGCCTTCAATCCTTCACTTTTCTTACTTTCCTTTTCCTCTTCATATTGCTTTCATCGCTTATTTCTGGTTTGCTGTCCTTGTTTTTTGTTTTCCTGTCGCAGTTTCCCTTTTGCTTCGGTTTACTCAACCAATGTTTTCATTGCCACACACACACACACAGAGTTATATCCAGACTTCTTTCTGATAGTTTCTCTCCACTGTTATTGTTGTTATTGTTGTTGTTGTTGTTTTGCTTTTTACTGCATTTATTCGTACTTTGTAGATATGTTTTTCTTCTTTTTCCTTCACACAATACATTCGGTTATATACATAAAGGTGTGTGAGGAACATAGGGATAAAGAAAAAACACAGTCAAAGCAAAAAACAAAACAAAACAAAACAAGAGAAAGAAACAAAAAATAAAAATAAGGAAAGAAGAATAGACACAACACAATGCAAACGATGAAGAAAGAAAGAAAAAAAAAAACAGAATTAGTGGGTTAAAAATAAATGGAGAAACAAGAACAGCAACTAAACAAATATAAAAACAACAAACAAAAAGAACAACAGAGAAAGAAAACAGAACAAAAAAAAAAAAGAGGCAGATAAATAATACATTCACTAAGTTCCTAGGCGCTCTTTGCGAGAAGAAGAAGATGCGGCGCTTTCAGGACGCCATTCATTCGAATTTGACCCTTTGGCCTTTATATTGATGTAGACACACGTCACGTTGTCTGTACTCCCTTGTCGCAAAGCCTCTTGACATAATCTATCCGTAATTTCCTGCGCTGGCACATTTTCCGCAGCAAGTTGGGAACAAAATTGTACAACTCTATCATACGACATGACATCCCACAGGCCATCGCACCCAATAATAAGAAACTCGTCCTCATCTGTCAGCTTGGTGGATCGAGTTTCAGCATCCGCAATGACACCAGATGGTTTTCCATCTGTGTACTCATCCAACTTGAAGCCGGCATCGCCAATGGCACGAGTTATACCCAAGCTTAGCACTTGTGGATTGAATTTTGGGTGACCCACACGATTACTTATAATACGGCCACCACATGCCTTCACACGTTCCCCTTCCGACACGTTGCAGTGTAGACTGTGTTTTGTTGATAACAATAGTGGAGACCCTGCACGACACAGTACTATCTCAGTATCACCGACATTTCCAGTCACTAGTGTATCGTCAACAATCATAGCAATTGCGCATGTGCTGCCAGATTCAATCTTTTCATTTGCGCACTTGGCGAGGAATACCCTCTCAGCTGTGGCTATCCCAGCACGTATTGCATGCTCGGGGTCTGTCATGACATCCGGTCGACTAAGAATAAACGTGTGTAAGTTATCGCGAAGAAACTCAGCACACTGCGTGCCACCATGGCCATCATATACACCAAAGAAAGGAATGGTTTCAGCAACCATCGCATGCTGATCTTCCATTGTTTTTCGAGATCCCTGCTCTGATGACACTCCGTATTCAAAAATACGCCACACAGACTGCGTAAAGCGAGGACGTTGATGGGACACCGCAGCTGACGTGGCGCTCTCTTTTCTGCCATTGTTGTCCTTGCTCATCCTGCACACCTTCCTCACAACTACCACTAATACTAACACTAATGTTGTTGCCACACAAACTGTGTCCTTGTGGTGTTCCTCTACAGGCTGCACCACAGTTTTCTGGAAGCAACACTACGATTATCTTTTCCACCACACACACACACATATTCAAACAGAGGAGAAAAAAAAAATAATAATGTTTGGGGAGAAGAAAAATAGAAATAAAAAATAGAAATAAAAAGGCAAACGAAAAACAATGAAAAAAAAAAACAGTTATTCCGCAATTGTACATGTTTTTGGGTTGTTTAACTCTTTTTTTTTTTTCACCTTTCTTTACCCTGTGACACTTTTTTTTTTTTTTTTGGAAATATCTGCATTTTTTTTTTACAGAAAAACCTACACAACAGCCTTATCTGCACTCGATTTTGGAGTGGCTATACCCAAAAAAAACTGCAAAAGGTCCTTTGAACGAGACACTGTTTAACTCAAGAAGCACCAGAGAATCTCACAGACACACACACACAAACAACTCCTCGTATTTCGACCTCACACTCGTGGAATGAAAATATGTACAGAATATTTTGCTCGATTCGAGGCTTGTCCCCTTACGATATAAATGGGAAAAGAAAACATCAACACAAGGTTTTTTTTTCCAGTGCATCCAATATCACAATCCAACTCAAATCTTTCCAGCACCCATTATTATTAGTATTGCAGATTAATAATAAAAATAATAAAATTTTCATAAAAACATTCTATGAAACATGAGGTTGTGGTGAGTTAACGGGATAAGAGTCCTTTATGGTCCTGTAGACCTCGGTCATCTCCGCGTTACGCGGAATACGGGGAAGAATGGATGGCAAAAAGCAAAAAAGAAAAAAA